GAGTAAGTTACTGCATACTAAGGGGGAAATACGGTAGCATCAAAACATGCAGGCACTAAAGTACATTAAGGCTGTGCGCGCTCTGACTTGGGACTAAAGTTAGTCCCAAGTTAGTCCATACTCACAGTGTTACTGCGCAATAAGGCATTTACACGTGTTACTGAGCAGTAACTAATCAGGAATAAATTTGATACCTGCACGATGCACATCTGTACTGCACAGTAATTTTGGTTACTGCACAGCAAATGTGCACATGTAGATGTGCCCAGGGTGCCTAATAAAAAGCAATCCATTTTTTCCCTACCAAACTAGTTTATGATTCAATTTAAGCATTTCAAGGGAATTCAGAATTGGCAATCAAGCTTTTAAACCTGTCCACTATCAATGATTCAAGATTACCATGTCAAAGAGGATTCTGGGCTTAAATGGCAAATGAAAGCATTCTAGCGGGAACCATAAAATCTATTTTCAAACACAGTTGAACAAACTGGTTATAATAACTCCCACATGAAAATAAAGGCCAAACTTCTAACTTTTTATCCTTTTACGAGGTTAGGTATTATAGTGATAAGTTCGAAGAAACTGTTTTTTTCTTCCTTTTTTAGGAATAAAGCACATGTTCAAAAGTCCACAAAAAATAAGGAAATGGACTTGACATTTAAAGTCTACCTTTGCAAATTCAAATTCCTCCAAGGAGGTTCAGATACATATGAATGGCTGTGTCTACATAAGACACTGACTGCACAGTTGTTACTGTGCAGTCATTTAGTACTTACATACACAAGTACTAAATGATATTGCAGCAACCAGAATTACTGCACAGTAGCATTGTCAAATAGCTTTTAGGCAATGCTGACTATGCAGTAGCTCATTACTACTGTGCAGTTGCACTGCATCACAGTGCAGTTGCACTGCATCACACTTTGTGCCATACGCTGTTATTGTGCAGTAGTAATGAGTGACTGTGTAGTCAGTGTCTTATGTAGATGCGGCCACTAGGGATATGAGTTTCTCCTGCTCTTAGTTCCAAGTAAAGCACCCAGAAATAGCTGAAGGAACTAGGTATAGCGGCTTAAGAAAGTCTAATGGTTTCATTTCCTTAGTACCCAATTCAGCAGTTTAACAAAAAGATCTTTTGTAAAGTAATAGAGCCAGTCTCTGTAGGAGGTACAGAGCTCTCTAAGGAGAGCAAGTTATAAAGCGTTTTATGGAAAATGTTCTTAGGCCTTCACAGGTGTGTCCAGATGTGCGTGGATGTTTGCTTCCCTGGGGACAAATAGCAGCAGCGCACCTTGAACCACCGCTTCTTGCCATGTACTGAGCTGACCCCAGCAGCCTTACCTGAGGTCTCGGAGGCCTCCTGGGGCTGCAGCCACAGCAATTCTGTCACGTGGAACCTGGTTGGCAGCAGAGCACAGCTCTGGGTGGGCTGGCTCTGCTTTTCAGCAGCGTGCGCTGACAGTGTGTGCATTGCTCCAGGGGTTTGTTTTGTTTTTTTTTTGTTGGGTTTTTTTTTTTACCCCTGGATATCCAGGGATCAAAAAAACCCACAGGAAAAACAAAAACCTGGCTCAAACCTCAAGCAGCTTGCCCTTGCTGTGCAGAGAACACCGGACGGTGCAGTATGTGGTGCTACAAACATGTTTGCAGTCGCACATACTGCACGACCACGCTCATCTGGATGCGCACCACATGAGATTATTGAATCATATTTTCCAAGACAGGATTTCACTGAATGGGGAAATCCTTTATTTATATTATTTCTGGAACAAGTAGGCACTGGCAGAACATTACTCATGAAACTGAGTAGGAATCACAAATAGACATTCTGATATTTAATATTTCTCTGTTTCTTTCTTTTTGAGGAAATGAGTTTTGTTTTCATATCTGTGCTTTTCCATCCTGTGACTCACTGGGTACATCTACCTGTGAAATTAATTTGCGGCAATAAACTCCAGTGCAGTTCCTACCAGAGCTCTTTGCTTCCAGGTGCAATGTTTACACATGTGCCTCAGACTGCAACATGTTGAGTCAAGGTGGTGCAGCCCCTGCTGGCAGGGGGCTTATAGGGTTGATTTGCCAGTCTGGAGCACTCCTGCCCAGCTTAACATGCTGCAGGTGGGCTGGCTGAGGCACAGGGGTGCTACGGTGCTGGACTAGCTGGAAAGCAGCCCCCACACTGTAGCACCCTTGTGCCTGAGCCTGTCCCAGTCACCGTCTACACAAATATTGCAGAAGAATAAATAATTGCTCCGTAGAATAGTACTTGTGTTGACAGAGTGAATTCGTTTGGCAGAGCTAATTAGTTTAGTCCAGCCTAATAGCACTGCTCATGTAGATGGTTATGCTTTACTGCAGAACTAAATAGGCAATTCCTCAGTAAGGAAGGAATACATCTGCATATATTTGTTTTTACATAAGAACATAAGTATCATACTGTATCAGATGAATGATCTATACTGTCCAATTTCCTGTCTCATAGAATGACAATAAAAGATGCTTCAAAAGGGCTCTGTATGAACAATGCATAACCAGATTGATCTGTCATATCCTCCATTGTATTCACCATCATTGGTTTAGGAATGTTAGAGGGTATAACCCTGTTCTTTTTAATAGCTATCAATGTACTTGTTCTCCATGCATTTATCTAATCCCCTTTTAAACCTAATCATACTATCTTCCTCTACTACATCTTGTGGCAAGAAGTTCCACCAGTTAACTATGTACAGTTGAAAAGAAAAAAAAACAAAACTATTTCTTCTATTTTTAAAGCCAGTTTCCTGTTAACTTCAGTGGGTGCCCTGGAACTTGATTAATTTAATATGAAATGTCTATTCACCAACACCTTTCATGGTTTTATAGACCACTGTCATATCATCCCTCACTTTTTTCCCTTTCCAAATTGAAGATTCCTCACCCTGTTAGTCTTTACTTGTATGCCAACTCCTCCTTGCCCCTGATCATCTGTGTTGCTCTTTGTTCCTTTCTGAACTTCATTACATCATTTTAGAGATCCTATGTCTGCCTTTGTAGTATCGTACTAAGATAATATGCATACCATAAGCAAGGCAAGAAACTACTTGGCTTGAACCAACTCTAGCAGGGTGAAACAAGAATGGATGAATAACAATGCATTAGTGAATTAGTACATTAATGCCCATACCTTATCAATAATCCTTACTTATTCTACAAGTTTCCACTGTAGAAACAACACGTTAATTTAGAATTATTGAATCATTTCAAAGGAAACACAGGGAGGTAATTAGCTGATTGCAAAATGTTCTCTTGAGAAACATATTTTAATCAGCATTAAGTGGAACATGATATAATTTCACTCATTACAAATCTATGCAATTACAAGCCATTGGTCCAGTTCAGGGCACCACAATGCAGCATAAGAATTAAGTAGATTGTGTAGGCTTCATAGCCAGTGTCAGTTTTATATCCTGACAATCAAAGGTCTTTCCTGAAGCTGTTGCAAACAGTATGAGCAGCAGTGCATTATCAATCCTCTCCCCAAAAATGCCATGAACTAATTCTAATAATGAGGCCTTGATTCTTACTCATGTAAGTAACCTACATTTATTTGAAAGATTTCATTGAAGTTCATGGCATGACTTACACAAAGATTGCTGAACATTTTTTAGTATGAACAAGCATTTACCACACTTGGTTTTGGGTCAGGAGGCTTATTTTAAACCACATACAGCTAGACCGGAAGCAGGCATATGCAGAAGTTCACTGACCCCAGCAGCAGCATATATAAGCATCCACCACTTCTGGGAGTTGCATGGGGAAGCCAGTGTAAATAACTTGAGGTAGAAGGAGGGGTCAGCAAGTCCATGGGAGAGGTTGGTGGGTCTGGGTGGAGATTGGAGGGATTGAAGAGGGGGTTGATGGGTCCTCTGGAGGTTGTTGCTTCCATGGGGGAGGTTTACCCATTTGGTGGGGATGGTGTGGAGGGAAGTAAAAACATTCAGGGAGTGATATTAGCACAGCCCCAGGGTTGGGGTGAAAAGCTGGGCTTTCCCAGCCCTGGGGCTTCACTATAAATATGTATAGGCATTCACATGATTGGGTTAACCCTTTCCTGCATCAGATTAACCCAATTTTGATCTAAATTAGTATACCTGCTCTGGTGAATTTAGATCAGGAGCACCATTTTTTCTCCAATAGAACCCCTCTGAATGCCTGGCCAGATGGGCATTTAGATTAACTTAGCCCTTGTTGGATATAAACCTAATGCCCATATGTGCCCAGATACAAGATAATATGGTTGACATTATGTGAGGGTAGTAGATTTTTCTACTTGGAAAAAAAATGTATCACCAAATCTTCAGTGGGTGCCAATTAACTTAATTCCAATAAATTCAATTAAAGTATTGGAATATCTACCAGCTGAATACCTGACCTATAGTGTTCAGGTGTTCTGAAGTTTACTGCCAGTCTGAAATCTAGTGCTGAGTTTGGAACACGGAAGAATAAATCATTCCCTTCATCCCATGTTGCAGTTAAGCTGGCAACTTTGCATCTTCTCCTTTGGTCAGTGTAATTTTTTCTTGAAATTCTAAAATTTTCTCCAGGAGGTCATTCTGGTGATTTTATTTTTACTTATTTGTAAATGTGGAAGAGAGTTAC